CGCGTTTCAGTCTCAGGGATTCCTGTGTGTGTAGGACTGAAGTGAGTGCTGAGCGTGGTGCTGTGGGCCGCGCCCCGTGTCCCTCGGGCATGTGGACCCCTGGCTCGTGTCCTGCTCGCTTTACCCCCACCCCCCTCCTCCTGGTGGGAGCCACGAGACCCCTGCCTGGTGGTCTCTGCTGGGACCGGCCCTGGCGTCACCCCCGCTCAGCAGACCTGCTGTGCTCACACATCCCGCAGCCGGGCATCCCGGGCACACAGAGCAGGCCCGGCCCACGGGGAGGGTCTGCCGAGGTCGTGGGATCCGGCAGTTTCTGGTCACGTTCACTGTATCTGCTTCCGCAGAGATGTGGCGGGCGTGCCTTGAAGTTTTCTTTTATCCTAGCACTTGGAGTTGCTGCCTGGAGTGGATGGTGGGACGGACCTTGGTGCTTTGGGCACCCTCCCCCTCCAAGGCACAGAGACCGGCATTGCATCTCATTTTGTTCTCATTTCAGTTTCAGTTTTTTGTTCAGAAATAACTTCAAATTTATAAAATGTCGCAAAAGTCGAAAAAACCCGCCCAAACGCTCTTTACCGAGTCCCCTCTTGCCAATAACCCGTTTACCCTCTTGGGGGTGGTTTCCACGCGCCCCTGCGTGCCTCCCAGGGTGGGGCCTTCCTGCCTCCAGTCAGGACCAGTCCCACTCAGCCTCCTTTGATTTGGGCATCCCCAGACCTCTGTGTCCCCTGCGACAGGCCTTCGCGGCTCACAGAGGTGTGCCTGGGTCTGCGGGGCCCGTGCGTCCCCACCTGAAGGCAGTGACGTCCCCTGCTCCTTGGTGACCGAGGTGTCACCAGTGCCTCTACCAGATGATTTCTGCTCTTGATTTTTCTGGCGTCGGATCCGGGGTCCGGGGGCCCCTGGAGGCGACGGCTCCTCTCCAGGTGGCCTGTCGCTCTTTTCTTCCTGGCCTTCCTCCCCGCGAGGGCTGGAAGGGAGCATCCACCTCAGCGGGGTCCTTCTCTCCCCACCGGCGTGGACCGGGAGGTGTGGGTGTCAGAGGGGTCTGCCCTGTGGGCCCAGGCACTGAGGTGGGCAGCTCGAGAGGGGTTTCTCAGGAAAGGAGGCTCTGCCCAGCTGGCTGTCACTGTCAACCTGCTTAGTAGTCGAGGGGAGGCCCCCGGGGCAGTCGGCCCCCTGGCCTTGGCTGTGTGGCTGTGGCCGTGGCCATGGGTGCTGGTGAGGTCTGGCTGGGAGGTGTGGATGCGGTCCTGGGGCTCCTGCCTATGGTCCATGCGGTCGGGCAGGGGGCACCCTGGAGCCAGTGTGGCCCAGAACCATTTCCCTCCAGAGGCAGACTCCGGGCTCTTCGGGTCTGGCGGGTGGACTTCACTCATGTGCCCCGACCTCCCAGCTGGCTGAGAAGGTGTTGAGAAGGGAGGGTGGACCCCGCTCCCTGCAGACGCCGGCGGGGTGGCCCAGGTGCTCCTCCAGTGTCTTTGCATGTCAGGTGGGGATGGCTTTTAATGCCATTTTTGCCTGTTTTTCGTGACTTTTATATAAAAACTTTAAAAACAAAAACTAGATAGTAACATTGTTTATCAAATGTAGCAAAAAACAAAAGAAACAAACGTTAAATGATCACTCGCTTTTGGGACCCCTCCTGTCCCATCAGCCCACCACTTGTCAGTCACAGTTGTAAATGGGGGTGGGTTCCTCTGACGCCTGTTTTTCTGGTTTTCCTGCCCTGGGGGGCTTGCAGTCTGGTGTGGGCTTGGGCGATGCCCTTGAATGCAGTGCCAGCACACCAGAGTAAGTCCCAGCTCTCCCGGTGGTGGGTCTCTCTCTTCCCGGGCTCAGCTTGTGGGTGGCAGGTTGTTTGGTTGTGCTCATCACGTGTTTTTCCTCAGCTTATCTTCTCATTCTTTTTTTTTTTGGCTGTGTTGGGTCTTCGTTGCTGCGCGCGGGCTTTCTCTAGTTGCGGCGAGCGGGGGCTACTCTTAAATTGCAGTGCGCTGGCTTCTCACTGCAGTGGCTTCTCTTGTTGCGGAGCACGGGCTCTAGGCGCGCGGGCTTCAGTAGTTGTGGCACGTAGGCTCAGTAGTTGTGGCTCACGGGCTCTAGAGCGCAGGCTCAGTAGTTGGCGCACATGGGCCTAGTTGCTTCGCGGCATGTGGGATCTTCCCGGACCAGGGCTCGAACCCGTGTCCCCTGCATTGACAGGCGGATTCTTAACCACTGTACCACCAGGGAAGTCCCATTTGTTTCTTTTTTAAAAAAATTTTTAAAAAATTAATTTATTTTTTTATTTATTTTATTTTTGGCTGCGTTGGGTCTTCGTTGCTGTGCGCGGGCTTTCTCTAGTTGTGGCGAGCGGGGGCTACTCTTCATTGCAATGGGCAGGCTTCTCACTGTGGTGGCCTCACTTGTTGTAGGGCACAGGCTCTAGGCGTATGGGCTTCAGTAATTGTGGCATGTGGGCTCAGTAGTTGTGGCTCACGGGCTCTAGAGCATAGGCTCAGTAGATGTGGCACATGCGCCTAGTTGCTCCGTGGCATGTGGTATCTTCCCGGACCGGGGCTCGAACCCGTGTCCCCTGCGTTGGCAGGCAAATTCCTAGCCACTGCGCCACCAGGGAAGCCCCCATTTGTTTCTTTACTAGTCTTTTCAGAGAGCACGGTTCTGGTCTTGTTGAGATTTTCTTGTGTGTTGTTTCCCGTTTCATGATTTTTTGCTCTTTGTCTTTTTTTCCCTCGCTTTACTGAGATTTAATTGACACATACCGTTGTAAGTGCGATGATTCGAATCACTTATACGTTGTGAGTGTTTGCAGGATGCAGTCGGTTCGCTCATCCTTCACCTGCCGTAGTCTCTGTTGCTGTGGTGGGGAGAAAATGGAAGCTGCCCTCAGCAGCTTTCCAGGGCGCTGCGCGGCCTTGGGGCTGCTGCCGCCACCTGTGTGCGGCCCTGGGACCTTCCTGTCTTGTCCTTTTCTGACTTCTTCAGTGGGGTGCTCAGCACATGGCGAGTCAGCCTTTTATCTGTGCTGCCCCATGTGACTGTTGGCAGTAACTGAGTGCGTGTTAGAACACACGTCTGCGTGTGGAGAGACCCCCGAGCTCTGTGCATTAAGATGCATGCACTTTGCTGCCCCTCCGTCAAGCCGCTTTCAAAAAGGTGAAAACAGCCCCCAAGAGAAGGGCGCCTCCGGGGTGCCCAAGGTGAACACAGCCCCGTCCGCAGATGAGGAGCCCTGGGGTCCCCGGTGCCCTCTGCTGGAGCCATCATGGGACAGCGGAGATGCTCTGGCCGCTGCTGGCAGGCGTTCCAGCCTTGCCTCTGGTAGCAACGTGTGACCAGGTGTCCCGTGCGGGTGGGCCTGTGGGCACACTGGGGCTTGGGCTCTGCGTCTGCCCGGTTGCTCTCGCTGACCCCTGGCCTGTGCTTGGTGTGCAGCTGCCCCCTTGGTGGGTCTCCCCCGGGCACCCTGGGCAGAGCTGCCCTGTGTGGCACGTGGCCTTCGGCACCGAGGCTCGAGGCGCATCTGCTGCTTTAAAGAGAAGGACCGTCGTGGGTCTGGACGTGGCAGAGCCAAGGGTGTCGGCACAGTTCTGTGCAACTCAGGATCGCGCTTTTCAAAAAATGTGTTCTTGAAATTCCTTAATTTCTGACCTGAAATGTTGATGTTTGGTGCACAGTGGGGAAGCCTCCTTGTCCTGTCGAGGTTTAGTTCTTGGCTGCCTCGCTCGTCTTCCTGAGGCATGTTTCAGCAGCAGGGGTGACGGCAGGGACCGGGAAGCTGTCCTGCCGGCCTCCAAGGGTTTTACGCCGTTTTCGCGTCCCCTCGTGCAACTGTTGTTACAAATCCTTCACGCTTTGCAGTCCTTGAAAGGGTGGAGTTTCGCAGGCGGCTTGGGGACGCTCACGGTCGTTTTGGTGAAGGGTAGCTAGCTGTCCCCCTCCGCTGCTCCTGCCTCCACTTGTGCCATTGCTTTCCCTCTTGAGGGGACCGGGGCACCACGGCCCCGAACCCCGTGAGAGTGGGTGACTCTTCAGGGTCGGCCACACCTGGTGGAGTTCGGTGCGTGTGGATGCGCGACTCAGAAAGCGGAAACACCCAGGGCTCCACCCGTTTTTCTTCTTAGACGTGTGCCCCAAGGGCCGCTGGAGTGACCACGGGTGGACGCAGCCTGCGGGTAGGCGGAGAACCAGGGAGGCGGTGGTGGCCGTGAGGGCACCGCCGCTGAGAGGTGCGGTGTGTTAACGGGAACGCTGTGGTTTCTCGTTCCCACGATGAGCGCCCGCACGCCTTGCTTTACGGCTAAACTCTGGGTTTTCCCGTGTCCTAGATTAAATAGGATCGCGAGCCAGGTGGCCATCCAGCGCAAGAAGCAGTTTGTCGAGCGCGCCCACAGCTACTGGCTCCTCAAAAGGCTGTCGAGGAACGGAGCCCCCCTGCTGCGCAGACTCCAGTCCAGCCTGCAGTCCCACAGAAACACGCAGCAGGTACGTGCCCGCGCCCCCGGCGTCCCTCAGCCTCCAGTGCCTCCGAGCGGCTCGGAGGATGCAGGCCCAGGTCTGTGGCCGGCCTCTCGGGCCGGGGGACGGCGTGCCGGCGTTAGCCTGGGGGGTGCAGGCAGTGCCTCCGTCTGCCTCTTTCCCGACCCTGCACGCGGGGATGCCTGCCGGGGGTGGAGCGGCGGGGGCCGGGGGGCGCCGTGCGGGAGCGACGTAACTCGGGGGCCGTGCCGAGGGCGACGAGGGCCAAGACAGGTGAGGGGGGTAGCAAAGAACAAAACCAGGCCAGCGCTTACGTCTTAGCGGTGGATCTGCGTTCATAGACCCGTCTGGTGGTTGTAGAGCGTTTCTCTGAAAGGATGGATTTAGAAAGGAAGGGCTCGACTCTGTGAGATGCCCCAAAACAAGCAAGAGTCGTCTGCCCGTGTGTGCTGAGGGGCGCAGCCTTCTAGACTCGGGCGCACAGCGGGGGCCCTCCTGACCAGTGCCTGTTGGATCGCTGTGGCTCCCGCCGCACCCTGAAGGCTCTGCCGTCTGTCCCTGTGCGTCATCAGTCAGGGGGGCCCGGGCGCTGCGTCCGGCATCTGGGTTCCTGGCGTGAAGGGAGCTCCCTCTGCTGAGTTCTGGTCGGGGCAGGACTGCCTGGCAGCTGTGAAGGTCCCCATCCCTGGGGTCCCCATGTCGAGGGAAGCAGCCGCTGTTTTCATCCCGGTGTCGCGGGAGTTGCTGCTTCCCGACTTTGCTGTCGCTTCTCCTTGGTCCCGGCGTGAGGCCCGGGCTGAGCGCTGCCCTCTCGCCAGTGGCGACGTCCTTGCTAGGGGACTCCTTCTCTCGATCTTCCCAGTTCTGTCGTGCTCACAGCGTAGGTCATTGAACGTTACTAACACACTTAGACGCTCAGTTTAATGTCGTCTTAAGGCTTTTTGAAATCCGGAGGAACCGTTAAGATCCTGGGCCTCTGTGGGGTGGGCCGTGCCCCCGACCCTCCTCCATCCCCGGGAAAGGAGGCACCGCAAGGCTACAGGGGGTGCTTCTCAGACCCACTGCCCCCGAGGTGTGCTGATGGGGCCGTCTCTCCCCTGGGGGTCCTGGTGCCCGCAGTGCCATCTGAGTCCCCTCCCCCGAGACGTGGCACAGGCCTCTGTGCAGACGCAGCGCTGCCGCCCTTGTTTGCTCGGGTGGACCCTGCACACCCAGCGGCTCCCTTAACCCTGGGCTGCGGCTACGGTGGACGTGCGCGTAGAGGGGCTGGGAGGTGCCGCGTCCCGAGCTCTGCTGGCCTGCCGGGTGCTCAGCTGTCCCGCACCCGCCTACCCGCTCCATCCAGCATCGGGACCACTGACTGCTTGTGTTGGTTGTGCTGCCGACCCTGGGGGCCGGGGATGCCCGTGCTCACCAGTGGGGGCCTGGCCCCTGGGGCTCACCCTCAGCCTTCCGCCGGCCCTGGGCCTTTGTTAGTGGCGCCCGCGCGCTCCTCCCTCCCCGCATCGGGCCCGGAGTTCGGGTCTCGGTCAGGGCTGTGTCGGAACACGTGCCTGTGGGCTGGGAGGGCCGGCTGTGGGCTGGGGGATGTTCAGGAGGCCGCAGGGCTGGAACCATGGGGACTGAGGTTGGCTGGCTTGCTTGGGTGCTGTCTCGGGAGCTCCAAGAAAGGGGGGCAGGGGCGGGGGCCCAGAGCCTGCAGGCCTCTGGGGTGGCGGGTAAGGCAGCAGGCGTTGCAAGATCGGGGCAGTGAGGCAGGACGGAGGCCTTCGTCCTCGCCCGGGTGACGGCAGAGAAATGGGAGACGTGGAGAATGCAGCCCCAGGAGTCTCGTCTCGGGGCCCTGGTGGGGTGCAGGGTGAACCGCGCTGGGAGTGGCGGCCCGGAGCCTGTGTGGTTGCTGGTGGGACCTGGGCTGGGTTTGGGGGCAGGAAGCTGGGGGGGTTGGGGGTGTGTGCACGTGAGGGGCCTGCCTGTACCTCAGGGGAGCGGGGGGGGGTCACTCCTGGGGGAGCACGTGCTCTCAGGAGGCCGGCATGAGGGTTCGAGACCAGTCGTGTTGTATTCCCATCCTGCCCCACACGAGGTAGATTTGTAACGATGGGAGGATTCACCCACAGGAAACGGGAAAGAGAAGCGTCAGCTCTCTTGGTGGAAGGAATTGGGAGATCTGGGTCCTTATGACTTACACTGAGCCCTGAGGTGTACCTTGGCTTGGCCAGGAGAGGGCTCTGACTGGGTCGTATAGAGCCCAGCTGTGTGGCCTGTGTGGGCAGGGACACGGGCGCGGGGCGGCCTGCCACCCGCCACGCTGGGGGCGCGAGCTCCCGCTTTGCGGGAAGGACAGGAGGCAGACGGGTGGAGGGCAGCGCCCAGCCTCTCCCCCCATTGCGTTCTAGCAAAGGCTGACTTGTGGGGACGCCCGAAACATTCATGTTCCACGTGGGATGTTCAAGGCTTGGTGTGATTTTTGGTGTTCTTTGAAACCTTAAAATTACTTGGTATTAGAGGTTAAGCTGACTCATTTAGCCCTGAGCCAGGCCCTGGAAGAGGGCAGGTGCAGCCCTTCCCTCCCGTGGCCGCCTTCTGGTTGGGGACAGACAGACAGATGGAATGAGCTGGCCTGGGGCAGACGAGGCGCGCCTCGGGTCGTTGCGTGCTGCCTCCTCGGTGGTCTGTTCAGAGCGGGTCCCCTTGGTGGTGACCCTCCCTGGAGCCTGTCCTCCGCCATCCTGCAGAGCCTGCTGGGGCAAGGGCCTGCGGCAAGTGCTGGGGTGGGGTGTGGCTCCTGTCCCTCCTGTCCTGCCTTTGAGCGAGCATATGCCCGCCCACTCGCCCCGATGCGCCCCCCTGGCGGGAGAGCGTCCCCTGTCCGCTCTCCGGTGGCTTTGGGACAACACGGTTGTCCTGCTCTGCTGGGGCAGGGCCACTCGCTGTCTGCCTTGCTGCCGCTGGCGTCAGCTTCAGGGGCCGGGGTGGCGGCTATCCCTCAGGGTCTTTAGGCCCTTGGTGATGTCTGGGGAGTCGGGTGGGTGTGCCAGGGCCTCACCCCGCAGAGCTGGCCTGCCCTGTGCCTCCAGCACAGGGTTTTGATCCGACCTAGGTGGTCCTGACCCTGGGGGGGGTGGTCCTGGCCGTCTCCCTTCCAGGCAGTGGGTGTCTTCCCCTCCTTTGTTGGGTGGACCTCGGCTCGATCGCAAGCCGTCCTCTAAGATCCTCTTTCCTGAGAGTTTTTTGGAACCAGAAATGGCTTCATTACCGCCCCAGTTTATGGAACGTCCCAGGGTTGGTTTTAGGTGAAGTAAGACCACTTGAGCAGAGTCAGAAACTCAGGCCCTTTTGTGCAGAAGAGGCGTGGGCCTCAGTCAGGTCCTGCCAGCAGGTTCCTGCGTGGTGGGGCCATTGTGTGCAGGGAGAGCAGCCCTTGGCGGCCCTTCAGTCCTGCAGCCGGGCGGTGAGCGGGCAGTGCGCACAGCAGGTGGGCACCAGGGGCTTGTTGGGGCTTTACCTGCCTTCCTCTCCCTCATTATCAGCTAAACATCCTTTTAGCTGATATTTTCAGAGTGTCTATTTCAAACGAACGGACAAGATGATTTTCAGATGCTCTTGGGGAATTTGGTTTTCTAAGCCCACCTTTCAATGTATTTATTTACTGGCTTTGTTTATACAGCTGATGTTACTGTTAACTCCTGGTTGATGCCTAAGAATTTCAGATAACCTAAAGACAAGCCCAGTGATTGGAATCTGGTGGAGCCTGGAGGACGCCTGGCGGAGAGGAGGCCCAGGGCCAGCCCACGTCCCTGCACCTGGCCTCCTGGGCCTTGCTCTGCTGCGTTTCCCGGTAGAGCGGGAAGAGAGATGCCTTGCAGCTCGTCATGGGTTCTTTGCCTCCAGACGCCAAGGTCCTAAGAGGGCAGTGTCAGCCCCTGTGTGGTGGCCTCAGGGTTGATCCTCACCATTTCCGCCCTCGGGGCAGAGCGCTCCCTGCTGACAGGTTCAGGCTTCGGACTGGGATAGGACTGCGATGAGTGTCGGGGGCCGGACCCCGCCTGCTGGCTGTGCCGTTTCCGCTCTGTCTGGATGGGGGTGGAAACCTGAGGGGCAGAAGGGGCCGGGGACAGAAGAGGGCCCGAGCGTTGTGCCGTGTGTTCCGGCAACAGTGCCGGCGCTGCTGCCTCAGCTGAGGCTGGAGGTGCGTGTGTCCACGACGGCAGCAGGGAAGGGGAGCCCCGTGCATAAAGTCGGACTCGGCTTCGGGACTGCTGTAATCGGGAGGGCCCCAGACACCCGCTGGGAGCCTTAGCGGGGCTGGTGTGGGAAGGTGAGGAGCCCGACTGCCCCTTCCTCCCGGAGCTGTGGTCAGGCAAGCGTTCAGCTGAGATGCCGGCACAGGGTGGGCTGAGCCTGGGCACGTGGGCTTCCTGGTGGTGTCGGGCACAGGCGGTAGAGGGTGGGCGCCTGGGGCTGGGGACGGGCAGCAGTCCTGACCCTCCGGGAGGAGCGCGCTGAGGTCCCGAGCGCCTGCGCAGAGCTGGGGCAGGAAGGGAGTGAGGACGTGCGCGTGGCGGGGCTGGGCGGCCTGCCTGGGCGAGGGTCTTGGGAGCGCCTAGCCGAGGCTGCCCGGAGGGCGCGCTGCCCGGGCGGCAGGTCTCTCCGCCGGTGTGCGCTGGTGCCCAGCCCTCGCTGCTCAGCCCCATCCCTCCCTGCCAGCGCTGGCCTGGAGGTGGGCCGGCAGGGTGCGCACGCGTGTCCGCAGGAAGGACGTGTGCGGGGCTGCGACGCCGGGGAGGCGGCGCCTGGGCCGTGGAGCCCTTCCTCGGCGGGTGTGCGCGGGGGACGAGGCCGACTCCGTTCCTCTCCTCAGAGAGAAAACGACGAGGAGATTCAAGCCGCCAAAGAGAAGCTGAAGTACTGGCAGCGGCTGCGGCACGACCTGGAGCGCGCGCGCCTGCTCATCGAGCTCCTGCGCAAGCGCGAGAAGCTCAAGCGGGAGCAGGTGAGGCCGCAGGGGCGGGGCGTCCGGGGGAGGGGCGGGGCGTGCAGCCGCTTGTCCCCTGGGCCCGCAGTCCTCGCCCCCGCGGCCTCCAAGCCGTCCTCCCTGGTGAGGGCTGCGGGCCGGGTGACCGCCGCCCTGGGTGCGGGTGGCTTTGCGGGGGTGGCACTGACCTGTCTTGAAGGAGGCTGGCTGGCCTGGGGCGGTGTGGTGTCCAGTGCGGTCCCGGGAAGCACGGGCAGGAAGGGGCGCCGTGTGTGCCCGGAGAGTGGGCCCCGTCGGCCACGGGGCGGTGTTGAGCGCTTGAGGCAGGAAGTGGCTTCTCAGCGGGAGGGTCCCCTCGGGCCCTGAGACCGCGTGCGCTGGCCCCCAGGTGAAGCTGGAGCAGGTGGCCCTGGAGCTGCGGCTGACCCCGCTCACCGTGCTGCTGCGCTCCGTGCTGGACCAGCTGCAGGAGAAGGACCCGGCCCGGATATTTGCTCAGCCAGTGAGCCTGAAGGAGGTGGGTGTCCTCGCCCTCGCGTTCCCCGTCCTTCCTCATGTCTGCGGTGACCAAAGGGATGAAGAGAGAGCCCTTCCCAGTGCGTGTCTGCCCGGCCGGGGGATGGGTTCCTGCGTTTGTGCTTTAGGGGCCTTGGCTGGGAGGGGCCTTGGAAGGACCCGGCCTTCAGTTTGGTGTGTCTCACTGCTGCCACTCGGCACTGTGTGAGCCTTGTGCGCGTGTGTGCGCGTGTTCACGTGTGTATGTGCACGTGTGGCTGCCTTACGTGGCAGGTGTGCTGGTTATGTAACGTGAACGAATCCTGTTTTGCCTGTAAACGGCTGTTTTCTTCCTTGGAGTCAGGTTCCGGATTATCTGGATCACATTAAACACCCTATGGACTTTGCCACGATGCGGAAACGGCTAGAAGCGCAAGGGTACCGGACTCTCGGGGAGCTGGAGGCGGACTTTGAGCTCATCGTGGGCAACTGCATGAAGTATAATGCCAAGGACACGGCGTTCTACCGCGCGGCCGTGCGGCTGCGCGACCAGGGCGGCGCGGTGCTCAGGCAGGCCAGGCGCCAGGCCGACAGCGTGGGCTTCGAGGAGGCCTCAGGGATGCACCTGCCCGAGCGGCCCCCCGCGGCCCCCCGGCGGCCTTTCTCCTGGGACGACGGTAAGCGCGGCTGTCCGGGAGCAGGCGGGAGGGTGCTCCCCGCAGACGCCGTGCGGGTAGGCCCAGGAGAAGGGGGCGGGAGCCACACACTGACTTGACGTTTCCTAGCAGCCTCGTGAACAAGCGGAAAACGGGCGAAGCTTATTTTAGTAACGTATTTTTAACCCACTGTGTCTCAGCGTGGTGATTTTAACGTGTAAACGACATAAGAATTACGGAGGATTGCCTCCACTGGCTTCTCATTTCCTCTTTGCTGTGTAGCATGTATTTTACAGTCAGTGCATCTCTGTTCAGGGCAGCCAGGTTTCGGGGTCCCACTTGAGAGAGACGCGTGGCCCGTGGCCCCGAGCAGGACGGCCTAGGTCGGCCTGATACAGACCAGGAAGCAGTGTAGCCGGGGCCTTGGGCCCATGTGGGCCCTTACGGACTTGGGAGGGCGTCTGTGGCCAGAGCAAGGCTGTCGCTGTGCTTGGGAGTTTAGCAGGGCACAGGCACGGGGCCCTCTCCCCGGCGGTGCACTCCTTGCGCCGTGGCCTTGGGGGGCCTGCCGTCCGCTGACTCGTCCGACCCTTGGAAGCTGCTGCCTTGCTGCGCGGCTCTGCCCTCCACAGGAGCCCTGGGTGGGCAGGGGCGCGGGGCCGCGGAGGGGAGGTCGGGCCTTGCAGGAAACAGCCGGGCGAGCCACCACGAGTGCTTGCGTATGCCTCTGCGCCCAGGTTTCACTGAGGATGGAATTAGGGATGCAAAGTCTAACCCGCTCCTCCCTCAGCATTGGGGTGGCACGAGGGCGGACCAGAGGCTGTGGTGAGGCTCCTCAAGCGACGTGCCTTCTGTTTCCGTGGCCCTTCTTATCTGCGGGGTTTTGGCGGGATGCTTTCTGCTGTGTTTCCCTATACCGTCGTCTTGTTCCCTTCGTGGACGAGGTGGTGCTTTAGTAAAAGGGTTGCCTGTGGGGGGAGGTGTGTTCCTTTGTCTGGAGGGCCGCGCGCTGCTGGTTTTGTCCCAGTTTTATCTGCAGGGGCTCTGTAGGCTCGTTTTGTTTCTTGCCCGCTTCTCACTGATTTAAGATAATCTGTGCTTTATGAACTTTGGTGTTTCGCTGAAATGGAAATTGCTGGCGGTTTTTGTAGTAAATGTGCCCCAAAGTCCAAATTATCTGTGACTTTTGCAGCCCACTTTTAGAACAGCCAGACAGCAGCCTGGGCCCGAGACTTGAGGTCAGACACCAGTCGCGATGCGCAGACGCCCCGCGCTGGCGCCCTCGGGGAGTCCACACCTCCCTCGGGCCCTTTCTCGGAGTCCTCGCTCGGCCTGGGCGGCTGGTCTCAGCAGGAGGGCTCGGCGTCGCTGGGCGCCGCCCCTGCTCTCGTGTATATGGCCCTGGCGGCGGCCCTCGTGGGCGCCACGCGCAGGTGGGGGCCCAGGGCTCCCCGGCGGGGCCGGCCGGGTGGTCCGAGGCTTCTGATGGCCGTGCCTCTGCTTCCAGTGGACAGGTTGCTGAGCCCGGCCAGCAGGGCCCACATGGTCCTGGAGGAGCAGCTGCGGGAGCTGCTGGACATGCTGGACCTCACGAGCTCCATGAAGCCCAGCGGGTCGCGGCGCAGGCGGGGCAGGCTGCTGAAGAAGGAGATCGCCGCCCTCCGGGGCCGGCAGCGCCGGCAGCACAGCCCGCCCCCGGCCGCCGGCTCCGCTGCTGCAGGCGTGGAAGAGGACGCTGCTCAGCTGGGGCAGGAGACCGGCCAGGAAGGTAAGCACGCTCGGGGCCGTGGGCCGGGCTGTCCGTGCCGCCTGCGCCGCGTCTGGGCACTAACGAGAGTCTGGGCTGTGGAATGAGACCGTTTTCTCAGCTCGGTTCCGGAAAACTACGTCAGGAGCGCCATCTGGGTCGTCCGCAGCCTTGCCAGGGCGGCCGGAGAGTGACGGGGGGCACGACTGTGTGTCGGGTCAGGAGAGTGGAGCAGAGCCTGCCTGGCACCGGGTGCCCGGTGACCTGCGCGGCTGCGCTCAGCCCTCACTGACTCGCTCCTGGGAGGACGGAGGGCCCTCCCGTGCTCCGTCGTGGGCCGAGTGTGTGGGGCACAGGGCTGGGCCGGACGCGCACCCAGAGGAGCCCCCTCCCCGGCAGGACGGGCCGTGGGCGCCAGTTCAGCCTGGGCTCTGGGAGGTGCCCTCCGGGGGCTGGAGCTCTAGGGCGGGCCGAGGGCCCCCCCTCGTGCTCTCCTTGCCTCACCTGAGGGTCAGCACGTTTCAGGCAGAGACATAGGCCGTGGAGTCAGACTCCCTGCCAGCACAGCAGTTGGCAGCTGTTTTACGGTCTTTCTGATTTTTCTCCCCATCGCGTCCAGATAAGAATGACAAAGACATTAATCAAACCAGACGCCAAGTTGTTCTACAGCTTATCTTTTCAAAAGAACTGTGGTGTACTGTGGACGGGTGCCAGCCTTGCGGACCTGCCATGTCCTGGTGGTGACCACGTGTGCCTCTGCATGGGCGCCCATGAGTGGGCTGGCGCTGGGCGTCCCTCTGGCGGAGCAGTGTCCTGGGTGTCCCCCTCCTTTTTTATCCAGTTGCCCGAGGCAGCAGTCGGGCAGGAAGGACCTGGAGCCCTGAGCTTTCTCTTTCCTTAGAGAGCCGACCCTGAGTCGCTCCTGCAGCCTTTTCCTCGCGATGGCCTCTCTGTGTGCACGGCTGCGCCGTCAGCTGCAGGCTCTGCAGCTTCTCCTGGGTTCTGGGAGTTACGTTCGGTCCGTAGAGTCTGGGGGAGCCTCCCTGCCAACCATCTGCACCGGCCCTGCCTCTTGGGGGTCTGGTTCTGAGGAGCTCTTGCCCAAGGGGACCTCCGACAGCCGGGCCTACCTGGGTTCCCGGGCTGTGCCCCCTTCTGTGCCTTCAGGGGTCCTCGGGGTGCAGGGTGGGCCTGGAGCATGGGTTCCGGCACGGGCGCCTGCTTGCCTGCCAGCCGGCCCCTTCCCGCTGCCCGAGCTGCCCCTCCGTTTCTCTTCTTGTGCAAAAGAGTGGGTTGGGGGAAGAACGTGTCGACAGGTTGGTCCGCCATCAGCTTCTGAGCGCTCCCGCTGGGCGGGAGTCCCCAGCGGCCCCTCTCGCTGTTCCATGGGGCCGGCCCGTATCGGAGGAAGCAGGTGGAGCCGCGGCAGACGTGAGCAGGGAGGCCTGGAGCCGTGCTGCTTAGGAGCGACACGTGGAAGGAGAGGTGTGGGTGGAGAGGAGAAAGAGCCGGGCTTGTCAGGGAGGGTGGGGGCGCCCCCGTGAAGCAGCGGCGTGGCCCCCAGACGCTGGGGCTGGTGGGGCCGTGCGGGCGCCACAGAGGGTGGTGGGGGCGGCGGAGGCAGCTGCTTGTGAGTGAGTGTAGAAACGTGTACTCGGTCTCACCGTCCCGGGGCAGAACTCAAGACTCTTGAAAGACTCAGGACCACAGCATCAACCCGTCCCGCTTGAAAGAGTAGTGATTTCTCAACGTCAGACGCGGTCTTAGTCGTGATTTAATGTTCACGGGTTTCCGTTGGAAACTTGAGCAGGAAGGAGACGCTGGCGTCAGGCACCAGGCAGGGGCGGTGGGCGTGGGGCTCCGCGCACCTTGGGGCAGGCGCCCGCGGACTCTGCCCGCGGTGTGTGCGGTGCTGGTCTGGGGCCGTCAGCCGGGGAGCCTCGTGCCTGGGTTGTCGGTTTCACACATGGTGAGGTTTCCGTCGAGCAGCGGGGGGCAGGGCAGTGAGGACGGCGTGGCCGAGGCCGTGGACCTGGGTTGCTGAGGGGCCTCTGCCTCTAGCTGTCGGGGTTTTGGTCCAGTGTTGGGTTCCAGCCCTGTCTCCGCTGTTTTAAGACTGCGCCCGTCTCTTTCCCGGGAGGCTCCAGAGGGGCTGCCAGGGGCAGCTGGAGGCTGGACGGTGCAGTCACGCTCGAGTGAGGACAGGGGCCCCTGATTCGGGAGGGTCGGTGGCACGGCGTCCAGACAGGTGCCTCGCTGGGTCCCCAGGCCGTTTGTGGCTTCGGTTTGGAAGCGTCTCTTGGGCGGGTTGGCGCCACGGGTGTGGACGGTGGAGAAGCTGCCCTGCAGACGCTCCGAAGCAGTGGGGCGGGTCGGGTGCCCCGAGTGGAGCCGCCGGGCGGTTCTGTGTGTGATGAGCTCCTGTGAACAGGATTTCAGGTGCTCTGCATTCGTTTATGCCACGAACGAAGAGCGTTTGTTCTAGGAGTTAATCGAGTGTTTTTCACGAGTGTTTAAGTGGCGTGTGATTGTTCGCAGCCAGTGACTGTACAGGGACTTGCGCTCTCGTGTCGGCTCCGTGTGCACCCGCCCCCCGCCCCCCCCCCCCCCGGGCCCTGCTTGGCACCTGCTCTGTGTGTGGCGAGCGCGGCGGGGTCATTGGTCACCGTGCTGTCTGTCCTCGTCTGACGGACGAGGACACGGAGGCTTGGGGCCAGTGGCCTGCGACGGGCCCGCAGCTGGTGGTAGGGGTGGTTTGCACCGGGTCACCTGAGCAGCTTCTGTCCTTGACGCCCACTCTGCATCCGCGTGGCCCCCAGAGGCCTGGGACATGCCTCTGTGAGCCGCGCCGGCAGACTGCAGGGCCCTGTGCTGTAGCGTAGCCTTCAGGGAGGGGCAGGGTCGGGTGGCCCCTCTGATGAGCTCCCCCATCCCCCGCGGCTGGCCCCGGCTGGGTGTGGGCGCAGTCCGCCGTGGACCACGTGGTCTGGGGCCTCGTGTGCGGGTGGCCAGGGCCGTGGCTGCCTGGGGCGGGGGCTGTAGGGCAGCGGCTGCCCCAGCAGGAGCGGCCAAGCCTGGGGGTGGGGCCTGAGGTCGCCTAGCCCGCGTGCTGAGTGGGGGGGGCCTGGCGGGGGGCGGCACTGCCACCCCCGCGTCCCCCTGCCTGCTGAGGCTGCGGCAGATCCTGACACCTTGGTGTCAGGTCAGCACAAGAGCTCCTGTGGGTCTGGGGGTGGGTGGGGGAAAGGGAGGGAGGAGGGAGGAGGGCCCCACCCCTGGGAAGATGCCCTTGGCGTTCCTAGTGAGTGACAGGAAGCCTCCCAGCGGTCACTCTGCACGTCCCTAGTTTCCACCTGCTCAGTGTTCCCCACGTGGTCGCGAACAGCGGGCGGGGGAGGTTCCTCACCAGCCGCGCGCCGGCAGTGGGGCTCAGGCTCTAGTGTTTGCACACATGTGCGAGATGAGTCAGTGTCTCCTTCTGAAACTGACGTTTCTAACAGCTTTTGGTCCAGGAGAGGCTCTCCGCTCCTTTCTGAGTCGCTGTCACGTGCCTTAACAGGCTTTGAGTGGCGTTTGAAAGCGAAGGCCCCTCTGGGGCAGAGCCTGACCACAGCTGCCTGGGCAGAGCGCTCCTGCAGTTCCGTGCCACCCTCCTGGGCTCCGAGCCTGGCTGGCTCTCCTCACCATAAGTTGGGAGAATTCTCGAAACATTTGCTCAGAGATGTAAACGAACCTTAGAAGTTGTGTAGCTTTTCATTTTTAGAATGACTTTGGATTTAAAATATTAACCTTAGGTGTTCTAGACGGTTCTGGGGAGATGTGCAGGTTTCATAAAATAGAAACTGTACTTTGTGATGATATGTACTACTTAGTGTCCTTCTGGTTTTATGTCATACATCCTGAAGCCAGTATCAGCCATGCCTGGAGAGAAACCTCGGTGGCTTTTATCCCAGAGGGTGTGCCCGCCCCGGCCAGCCCCGTCCTCCCTGGAGAGGCTTCTCCAGCCTCTTGGGGCCCGGGGCTGACAGGCCGGCTCTCAGGCGTCTTGTTTCCATGTTAGTAACTTTTAAAGCCTTTTCCTTAAGAGGTTAAAACAGTCTTTGTCCAAAGGTTGTGTTTTTATATTTAAAGTCAGACTTAGAAGAAAGAACTTAGGTTGTAATGTTTCTGGAGGTGGCACAGAAGTTAGTGTATCTGAGAACAGAGTGGGAAGTTTTCCTGCTCTCCTGGATCGTTCGCAGCCACTCACCACTCCCAGGTTTTGACATTGACTTAGAATGCCCTGGTCAGAAATCAGGTCTACGTGCTGTTTCCTCCTGTCTGCTAACCTTGTGGACCAGGTCAGGACTGTGGGAATGCCCGCTTAGAGCCCCTTAGTTACGTGAAATATTTTTCTTCCTCAAGGTAAGTGGATGTTGATTGCAGAAACTGTCATGAACTCGAATGATGACTTGATGCCGGCGCACGCGCGGTGATCTTCAGGGTTGTCTTCAGAGGGTAACTCTGGACACCTGGCGCCAGGCGCCGCGGCCTCGGTGTTAGGGAAGCGCACACAGGGCAACCCGCGGCTGCTTGCAGACAGTTATGTGTGATGCTGTGTTTCCTTAATTGAATTAGTATTTTGGTGGACTTCACATTTATAGTAAGTTTTATAATAGATTTTATAATTATCAGTTTTCAAAAATCACTTTATTTATAATTTTTTCAGGAGATAAATCTCCCCCTAAACTTGAACCATCAGATGCATTACCTCTTCCTTCAAACTCGGAGACTAATTCAGAACCACCAACCCTCAAACCAGTAGAACTCAACCCAGAGCAGAGTAAACTATTCAAAAGAGTCACATTTGGTAATGAATCACATAGCACTTGCACTCAGAGCGCACTGGTAATCGGACACCCTCCAGAGCCCACCCTCGCCAGTAGTGGCGATGCGCCGGCGGCGGCCTCCGCGGTGGCGGAGCCATCAAGCGATGTAAACAGACGCACTTCTGTTCTCTTCTGCAAATCGAAAAGTGTAAGCCCCCCAAAGTCTGCCAAGAACACTGAAACCCAGCCAACTTCTCCTCAGCTAGGGACCAAAACCTTTTTGTCTGTAGTCCTTCCGAGGTTGGAGACTCTTCTGCAGCCAAGAAAAAGGTCGCGAAGCGCCTGCGGCGACTCCGAGGTGGAAGAGGGGCCCCCGGGGAAGCGCCTGGACACAGGTGAGTGCCGCGCAGCCGCATTCTGCCCCGGGGCGGGGCGGGTGGGGGGCGGCAGGCGTGTGCCAGCAGCTTCGGTGTTTTGCACTTTGTTGTCCGTGTAAGAAGACAGATGGTGTTTTTCTTTGAGAAGCCCTGAATCATACGTCTGAGGTGGCGCCACCTCGGGGGGCCTGGGGGCTGGGGGCCCTCCCTGCTCGTCCCTCCCCTTGGAGAGTCTGGACCCAGGCCGGCTTCCGAGCGTGGCTGGTGCTTGGCTGTGCTGTGCGTGTGGGCGGGTCCAGGTGCGGTGGGTGACAGCGGGCGTCCTGCAGGCCTCCCTTCTGAGGCCCGCAGGGTCTGGGCTAAATGCGGTGCGTCACCCACTTGCTTAAGGCGTACTTTGACGTTTTCTCGCCGTCTTGTGTGGCTTGGTTGGCACACACACGATGGGTTATCTCCTGCTGAGATAACTCTCGAAAGTGTTTCTCATTTACTACTAAGCTTTTATGGCTTAAGTTCGTCTAATTAACTCACCCAGACATCCACGTGCTGGTGCTCCGTCAGGAATTTCCCTCCAGCTTTGCAGGAGGCACCTTCTGGCTCTTTCAGAGCCTGTTTCCAGCCTTCGCGCCGGGAGGCGAGGGGTTTCTGTGCTGGTCGCCTAGCCGGTTGCCATCTGCGCCCCTCCACGGCGGCGGGCCCGTGGGTCTGTCTCCTGGGGGCGGTCTGAGCTCCCTTTGGTCCTGGACGCGGACCAGAGCCGGCTCGTGTCTGCTGCTGCTCTGTCTGCCACATCCAGACAGAGAAGTGCGTCTCCTCCTTCGGCGCTTGACTCAGTTTGAGCCACGGGTTCGTGGGACCGGCTGGGTGCCTCGGTCCCGGGCGTCCACCCTGGAGGGGTGGGCGGCTGCAGCCCGGCGTGCGGGGAGGTGTGTCGCCCGGCTGGCTGTTCTTCCACAGTGAACTTTTGCACGTGTGATTAGGGTTGTTGAAACGTTACATTTTGTGCTTTTAGTTCGATGGATCAGTATCAAGTTGGTGTTTTTTGATAACTTGTTAAAACTTTACTTCTGATGCTGCTCGAGTGCGTCCAGGATACAGATACAGGTACCGATGGAGCCTGTGTCAGCGCTCGGGGCCCCTTAACCACACTGGGGCCTTTTCCGGCCGAATTTAGCGAAAGAGCCTCGGCTTGGTTTTCAAGTGCACTGGAGGGTCCCGGCATCTGCACCGGGAGGCGAGTCAGGGTGTCGTGTTCTGGTGCAGCGTGCGCAGGGCACTGCGGTCAAGGGCCTCCGGCGAAGCTGGTGTCCGGGGCGGGCGGGCTGCCAGGCTCCGACGTGGCCCTCGCCGCCCGGCTGTTCTTCTGGAACCGTTGCCCCCCGTGGGCCTTCAACCGTCGGGCTTTCGGGGGCCTCTTGGACTCCCTCACCAAAGGTCCCTTGTAGAAAATCACGTCCCCTCCTTCCGGTTTCCGCGTCTGAGCCGAGGATTTTTCAGGTGTTCAGTGGTGATGGTTGAGGCCAGGAGTTTCCCGCAGGCTTTGCATGAGGACCGGGGCGCGTCCGAGGTGTCGACCCCTATGGCCTGGCTCAGACGGAGCCCTTTGCTTCCCATTCCAGAATGGCGGTGCCTTCAGTGGTGTGCGGTGAGTCCTCAGGGTCTGCTCGGCCCTCGGCTGGCCCGTCGCCCGGGCGTCTCGTGGGCTCCGCAGCCGGTTCCCTTGCCCTGAGCGGCAGTCTTTGCAGTCTCGGGACTTGGGGTATTCCGAACCTTCTGTTTTCCAAGGGTCCGTCTGCGTGCTCTGCCTCGTAGGGAGCCCGCGGGTGTCCACAGTGTGCTGCAAGGCCTCCAGGTTAGGGTGAACCCCGCCTTGTTCCTTCCGGGCACTCAGGCCTCTCCTCGGAAGTGCCCGCGGGCGGCGTCAGCACGCTGGCTGCTCCTCCTGGAGCCGTGCCGCCAGGGCCTGCGTGGTCTCCCGGCTTCCTTCTGTGACCGCTGGCTCGTGGGCCCCAGGCCAGGACACCGTGCTGCCCGTCTCCTCGCTTGAGATGCCTGCGCGTGGCTCCCGTTGTGCGCGTGGTGGGCTGTGTGCGCTTGCGTCTGTCGCTGTGTCTGCAGGCTGCTTAGGCAGGAGGCTGCTGTGCGGGGCCTGCAGCCCGACTAAACGGCTTTTTCGCTGTTTTCCAGGTTCTCATTTTAACTACTAACATGCTGGGTAGTTCACTCTTTGAATCCTAATTATTTTCTCTTACTCACCTTGGACTGGAGTTCTGCTACGCGGTCACTTTGGAACGCAGAAGGATCCCTGCACCCTTGCATTTCACCCAGTTATTGTGGATGACATTGGAAGCATCCGTTCAGCCGCCCTCCAAACAAAAACACAAACACCAGCCCTTGGAGGAGCCGTGCCCCACCCCATGCGCCCCTCTGTAAGTCAGCCAGACGCCCGCAGGTGCCGGGGCCGGCGCCCGTCCTCCAGCTGGCTGGGACCTGGCTGGGACGTCGCTCGGCCTCCCCATGGATAGGGTGACGATGCAGAAGGAAGCCTTGGGCCGAGGTGCCTGGAGAGCCTGCTGCGTCCACAGATGACTCGCGTGGACAGAGCTTCTGACCCGCCCTCGGCCGGCACAGGACCGGTCTGTGATGACCAGGGGCTCTGGGTTGGGTGCTGGGCTCGGGAAGGACTGTGCAGGTCACACACGGTGCCGGACCACGTGGCGTCAGCCCCGTCTCCCCTCGCTGTCTGCTGTTAGCACCTCCTGGCTCCCGCCGGGCCCGCCCGCCCTCGCTTGTCTCTCCTCTGGCTCCTTTTCCCGCTCGTCCCGGGGCTCTCGGGGAGGCACAGTGCTGTCTCTAGTCTCCACGAGCGGACGTCTTGGCTGCGGGCCTGGGGGCGTCCCGTGCTGGGCGTCCTGGCGAGCCTTGCACGCTGCTGCGTCTTCTTGGAGCTGGTCTGGGCAAAAGCAGGGTGTTGGGATCTTACTTGATGTGCTTCTGTGTTTTTATTGAAAGGTGGAAAAACGCATAAAAAATGCAGTTCTGTTGCCAACAGTAAAAATAAAAACTTGGAGCCAAAATAACAGGCATGCCCCCTGCTCCGACAGGCCGGCTGCAGTCCCTGTGCCCACTGGCCCTGGCACTGTGTCGTGTGAGGGGAGCCCTTGCGTCCACACCGCGTGGCTGGCAGGGGGTGCAGCCGCTCCTGTCGCTGTGCCTCTTGCTGGGCTGCCGTCCAGGAGGTCTTCACGGCCCGGCGAGGGCGTGGCGGGGTGGACCTCGGGTGCCTGGCACCCCTGTGGGAGCACCTGGAGGCTTCTTGCCACCCGGCAGGTGTGAGCGTTCAGGATGGAGGTCGCTGCAGCCACTAACGACCCGCGTTTCGGGAGGCCCGGGGGTGCCTGGACGGCCTTGAGCTGCAGCTGGGCCGGGGCTCCCTGCTCGGCGTGTCCTCCTTTGGGGCAGAGAAGGGAGTTTAGACTCCGGGGTGCCTCCTCTATCGCTCGAGGCATCAGCCCTGATTCCCAGGGGCTCTGGGGGGTGCAGATCATGTCTGGGGGGCGTTGGCCTGTCCCTGAAGGCACTTTTCACCGGGCACTAACCTGGCTCTCGGAGGCACTGCGGGGGCCCCTGTGTCTGCCTGTGGCTCTGGGCCCACCTCTTTGCAGACCTGTGACCCTGCCCTACTGAGTGGCATTTCAGGTCCCTGCAGGTCTCTGGGTGGCGTGGGGTGGCTTGCGGAGGCTGGCCCTGCTCTGGCCACGCGGCCTCGTGCCCTTGGGCTTGTCAGCTGCTCAGTGGGTGACACGGGGAGAACCATACGTGACTAGCTGGTCACTCTGGGGGCGTGTGTCCTCTTGTTTCCCAGTTGAGGACTCCCCACTTCTGGGTCTTCTCCCCTCGTGTCACTTGTCACCATGCGTGCCATGTGCGTGATGTCTGTGCCGTCTCCCGGGGACGACATGAGTGCAGGCTTGCTCGGTGCCCTGGAGCCGGGGCCGCTCTCCCCTCTCCTTTTTCCGCAGTCAGGAGGCCTGTCCTTCCCCTGACCTTCACCACGCGCATCCTGTGACGGGCGCCCTGCCCTTCCTCTTGCCCTTCCTGGCTGCCGCCTCCTGCCTTGGGATGGGGGGTCGTGGATGGCAGGCCCCATGCACCGCTCGCCCCAGCTCTTCCCAGGCGCTGGGTACCTGTCACAGGCGGTGAGACTCCCTGTCACCTTCTAGGGCCCCTCTTCCTGCTCTGCCAGGAGAGGCGGATGGGCAGCCCGCTTTGCCGGTGGGAGGTTGGGTGCAGGGGGAGGCCGTCCACGCTGGCTGTGCTTGGAGCAGCTTGGTGGCTGCGTGTCCTTGACCCCTGGGCTGTCGCCACACGGTGCGTCTGGACTTGGCCCAGTGTCGGGTGCTGTCCTGGGCCCTCCCCGGGGGCTACAGGTGGGGTCTTGTAGCAGCGCTGGTGCTGGGGTTGCGCCTGTGTGAGCGTGGCCCCTCCTGGTGGACCTGGGCCCCACGGGCTGGGACCGCAAGAAGCGGCCGTGGTTCAGCCCCGCAGCCTTGGCCCAGCCGCTCCGTTTCATGGGCCTGCCTTCCTGAGGTGGTTTGGTCCAAGTTCCGAAAATGAGTGTAGCACCCGCCACTGCCTGCAGGTACTACTTGTAAATATGAATTAGGTTTAAAACGGAAAACGCTAAGCTTTTCCTGTAGCCAGTGGTGTCAAGTCTGACGGAGGTGGAGCAGGACGTCTGACTGGCTCGCTTGAGGAGAGCCGGGGGCTTCGTTCTCTCCGGGAGCAGCAGAGCGCGCTGTTCCTGCATTTGTGCTTGCCAGTGGCCGTCTGTCTAGGTTTGCTCACCCCCCTTTGTTTACAGGAGAGTAACTCCGAAGCGGATGAGGCCCCCGTAATCTGGCTATAACTACCTTCAAAAAGTGTTTTGAAAAAATGGATTTAAAAATTTTTGAAGCACGAGGAGTGGGATTCTTCTCTGGGGAAAAAACACACCTTCCCTGCAGCAGCCGCACCCAGAGGGGCCGGGCTGGGCCTGGCGGCGCTGGACACAGGCGGCAGCTCGCGGCCCCTTCTGACCTGGGGGGGTCCTTCCTGCCTCCTGCTGGCGTCAGACTTTTCGGGGGCAGGATGTGTGGTTTGGCTTGGAGATTTGCCTCGATTAAGGCACTTCTCAGGTGCTAAGGTGACGCCGTTGGCTTGTTGGGCTGCCTGGGGGTTCGGACCCCTGTGCGTCCTGGCGCCCTGGTGGCGCGTCCTCACCCGTGTGCCTTGGTGCTGATGGTCTCGGTGGCGTCTGGACACAGGGCGCCCACGTGAACGAGACGCTTGTCTTGGATTTCAGGAGGTCGTGAGCGTCTTTTGGGGTTCCTGCTAGTGCTTTGTTTTGAAAGAGGGTTTTCCTTAGACACGGACGTGCTGATCCCCCAGAAGCCCGTGGCTCCCCTCCCCCCGGGGCCCCCCGCCCAGACTTGGGGCCTGTGTCGGTGGGCGTTGACCGTCCAGTAAGGAGTCGCGGGAGGCCCTCCTTGCCTTTGTGGGGCCTGCCTTTAAGAGCACCTTCTGGAGACCAGTGTGCCCTGACTTCGCCGTGGCTTGTCATCTCCGTTCGGTGCCCCCTGTGCCCGTCCCGTGTTCTGAGCGTGCTGGGTGCTGGGGTGGGCAGGGCGCGATTGTCTGGCGTTGTCCCCGGTTTAGAGAGGGCGGTGGTGCGGGCACCTGCCGCGCGGAGCTGAGCTCAGGGCCGCGTGCGCCTGTGTTGCAGGGCTCACCAATGGCTTTGGGGCCGCGAGGGGCGAGCAGGAGCTGGGCGGCGCCCCGGGGAGAACAGCCGCGCCCCGCCGCCGCTGCGCCTCCGAGTCCAGCGTCTCCTCCAGCAGCAGCCCGCTCTGCGAGTCCAGGTGGGCCCCGCCCCGCCCCGCCCTGCCCTCCCCCCCCCCCCCCCCCGAATTTCACCGGAAGTGGGAAGGCAAACCCCATAGAAGCACGAGTTACGCATGTACTTGGTGTTTTCCTCCCGAGTCTTGCCTTTACCAAGATGGCGGCTGGGAATTCCCTGGTGGTCCAATGGTTAGGACTGTCACTGCCGAGCCCGGGATTGATCCGTGGTCGGGGAGCTAATCCCACACGGTGGGGCCCCCCCAAAAAAAGGTGGCCAGCACGGCCCTGCCGTCTCCCTTCCCTCCTGACCCCGCCCCGCCTCCCCTCGTGCAGGGCCCGCGGCCGGGCTCTGATGGGCCCCTCCTTCCCTCCTGAAGCTTTAGCGCGCCCCCGTGCGGCCGGGGCAAGCCCGCCCTGGTCCGCAGGCACACGCTGGAGGACCGCAGCGCGCTGATCTCCTGCATCGAGAACGGGAACTACGCCAAGGCAGCCCGGATCGCGGCCGGTGCGTCCACGCCCGCCGCCGCCTTCTGCGCGGAGCGGGAGATGCTGGGGACCCGGGGGCCGGAGGCCTTGGAGCTGGGGGAGGGATGGGGTGCAGGGCGACTCGGTGTCGCGGCTTGAGGGTGGGTGCGGAGGCCCTAAGCACCAGTGCGGGCGCTGGGCCGGCCTTCTGCCTCCCCCGGGCTCTCGCGCCCTCAGGCCAGGCCGGGCGCGCACCCCCCAGGCCCGTCTTGCCGCCCTGGGGCGGCCTCAGCTGTGCGGCCGTTGGGTCCCGGGGGCCCTGCCCTTCTGACTCCCTTCTCTCCCTCCCTCTTGTTCTCAGAAGTTGGTCAGAACAGCATGTGGATTTCAACTGACGCAGCGGCCTCCGTCCTTGAGCCCTTGAAGGTCGTGTGGGCCAAGTGCAGCGGCTACCCCTCGTACCCGGCCCTGGTGAGCCGCGAGCCAGTGGGGCGGGGCCGCCGAGCCGCGTGGCCGTGTCCCTGGGCCCTGGGGACAGGCGTCCTGTGACCACCTGCCGGGAGACTCACACGAGGGGTGTCGGGGGGTGGGCGGAGGTCCTTGAGACCCCCCCCCCCCTCGTCGGGCCCTGGCCTGCTCCAGGGCACGGGGTGCGAGGGCTCCGCCGCAACCCCGTGTCCTCCCTCGGCAGATCATCGACCCCAAGATGCCGCGTGTGCCTGGCCACCACAACGGGGTCACCATCCCAGCGCCGCCGCTGGACGTGCTGAAGGTCGGCGAGCACATGCAGACCAAGGCGGATGAAAAGCTCTTCCTCGTTCTGTTCTTCGACAACAAGAGGAGCTGGTGAGTGCCCGCCAGGCCCTGGCTGGGTCCGTGTGGTCCCGACAGGCCTTCCACGGGCTCCCGGACCCCTGTGCTCTGCCAACGGATGGCTCTGCCAACGGGTGCCACGGTCCAGACCCTGACCTGAGTGCTCACGGGAACCGCCCCCCCGCCCTTCTGGCGCCAGGCTCCTCTGCCCTCTGCACTGTGGCCCTTTCTGTGCCCGAGGCTTCCCAGTGGGGAGCCGGCCGCAGTGTCCCGTGTGGCTGCGTTGGGTTTGTGTGTCTTGCTGCCCCCTGCCTCCTGACCCGGGCGGCCCCCCTGCCGTGTTCCCTGTGGCTCAGTGGGTCTTCCGGACCCGTGGCCCTGCCCTCCACTCCTTGCTGTGTGAGTGCACGTGTCATGCGTGTGTATGTGTGTGTGTGTGTGTGTGTGTGTGTGCGCGCCCGTTGGCGCATGTTCGTGCCCCTTGGTGGCCACTCAGGCGTGGCGTGGACGGCCGAGGGCTGCAGCGGCCCCCCGGGAAGTGACACCGAGGAGAGGAGGTGACCACTGATTCCGTGCTCGGGCGCTTTCCGAGATGCCACTTGGCCTGAAGTGCCCAACAGCGTGGAGGCTGGGTGTGTGCACGGTGGCCGAGGGGCAGGTTGACACTTGCGCAGCCTCACAGTGCATTCTCTTCCTTTAAAGGCAGTGGCTCCCGAAGTCCAAGATGGTTCCCCTCGGCATTGACGAGACGATAGACAAGTTGAAGATGATGGAGGGGAGGAACTCCAGCATCCGGAAGGCGGTGAGGATCGCCTTCGACCGCGCCATGAACCACCTGAGCCGCGTGCACGGGGAGCCGGCCAGCGACCTCAGCGACATAGACTGACGCTCAGGCCGTGGCTTTGTCCATAGTGTCGATATGCTGTACATACTGTATATTGTTCACCACTTAACTTATTCTGATTTTTAGGTGTAGTTTAATTCTTTCTCCCAGGGAGGGGGAGGTTTTATTTCCCAGTTTTCTATGAAATCATCCCCGTTTGGGCGCTCTGTGAATGGCGTGGGCGCGTCCCCCGAGTGCAGCTCTGTGCCCCTCACGGGTCACTCTAGAGGGCGCTGCCGGCGTCACTTTCTTTGATCTGTAGCTGATTTTTTTTTTTTTTAAAGACTTTTGAATGTTTAATAATTTTGTAAATCATACTCTTTACACAGAGTACCACTTATTTAATAGATGGGATGTAAATTTACAATGACAAATGTGTATTTTAAGAAAGAAAATGACATTATTTTGAATGGTACTTTGTGGAAAGAGGTGGAGAATAAATCTATGCCGCGTGCATCACTTGCAAATCACCAAAAACACTCCGCCGCCCCCGTGAGGGCTGGGGCAGGCGCCTCCTCTGGGCCTTGCCAGCCTCGCCAGCCTCGACCACTCGCCAGCCTCCGCCTGTCCGCTGCAGCCTCCCACGGGTGTGCCTCCCAGCGGATTATTTATTGTAGAAAGTGTATTCATTTGCTTTATAATGAAAGATAAATTTGCAGAAGTATATTGGTATGCATTTTTATACAGGCACATAAAAATTCAACTTGCTTCGGGAGCAGGATGTGTTGGTTGTTGTACAAATGACTCTGGCTGTGTTCTTTGATTTTGTAACTTGTAATCTTTTGTTTACAATGAGGGGCTTTCTGTAACTTGTTTTAGTTTAGAACACTTTGGTAGCAATAGCAACTTTGGATACATTTTTGTATGGTACACGCGATGTACATAGAATTGGTACTTTATTTTTTATTTCTAGGAGGTAAAGCATTATGTTAGGGGAAAGGTAGGGTGGGTTTCCAAAATGGCATTTTTTATATTAAAAAATAAAGTCAAGATTTGGACGGTGTGTCCCTTTCATTCCTACATCATTAGAATGCCGGGTGGGCGTGCAGCCTGGCGGCCGGGCCGGGGCTGGGGCGAGGGTCCCTGCAGCCGGGGCACGCGACACACCTTCATCTCAAAAAGTGTCACGGGATGTCATTATTTATTATTTTACCTAATCATATTTTTATTTTAAAATGGTAGTTTAAAATTTTTAAATGTTTGTTTCTTTTAAGTCTGCATCGTTTGTAACATCTCCAATAGAAACTTGAAAATAAAACATCTTCCTTTGATAGTTTTGTCGCATGTCTGACGGACGCTTTCTCTCTGCTGTGGTTCTGGGGTCCTCCGGGAAGGCCTGTTGGGGCCACGTCACCACGGGCGAGGCCCCCAGCTGTGGTCGGAGAAGGGACGGGAGGGACGGAGGGGCGGAGGGACGGGGTCTTCATGCCGGAGCTCCTGCCCCAGAGCCTGGAGCTGCACCCGGGGCCTCCTCTACCCGCACTGTCCCAAGTCACGGTCACGCCGAAGGTTGCGAGGGGCTGCCGCGGCCTGAGCTCTGCTGGCGGCGTCCGCTGGCGCCGAGTCCTGCTGCTGTGGTTTCCACGGAGCCCTGCCACCCTGGCCGCCAGGACGTGTCCGGGCTCGTGGTGGGGCCCCCTGCGTGCTCAGCTCAGCCCGCCCCGTTGGAGCTGGCCCTTACCGCCGCTCGGGCCCACTGGGCGGGCGTCCAGCCTGTCCCCGTTCGCCCGGGGCTTTGTGGTGTCAGCACCGAAGTCAGCGTCCCGGGAGCTCCTCACCCGTACCTGGGGCCCCTGCCAGGCCGGGGCAGCCCCAAGGAGCCCCCGTCTCGGAAGCTCACTCCACCCAGCACTGGCCGCCCGACCCCACCCAGGGCGTGGCTGTGCCGCGGCCCCAACCCCGAGCAGGGGCCTGGCAGGCGGGGCTGAGGGCGCCCCGTGTCCTTAGCGGGACCTCCTGGGCCCCACTGCCCTCTTGGATCCAGCCCCGGGGGCCCTGGGGCTCCTGGCTGTGGCTTCCTTCTTTCTTGGAGGGCCTCTGGGCAGGTGGGCAGAAAGCGCAGCTTCAGAGCACAGGGGGCTCTGTAAGGGCAGCTGGGGGCGAGGACCCATCAGGGGCACTGGGGCGCCTCAGGCCAGAGCCCAGCCCCTGGGAGGCCGGTGGTCTCTCCTCGAGACCTGCAGTTAGTCCCGTGTGACCTGCTGCCTGGGGCCCTGGCCCTGCAGACTTGAGGCCGCAGGGCTGGGGACACTGGGGTCTTGTGGTCTGAGCAGTGGGGCCCAAGCCTCCGGAGTGCCCACGTGGCAGGCCTGCGTGGCCCCGGCATCCAGCTCCCAGCGCAGGGGCAGAACTACAGCCCGGCGCTGGGGCGTTTCGTGTCCAAGGCAGTGTAGACGGTGCTCATCATGTGACTGGAGCTCCCAGCCCTGTCCCCCCCAGGCAGGGTCCAACCACGCGGTGTGGCCTCCTCCCCAGTTTCTGTGGGCGGCACTCAGGGTTTCCCTGAAGCAGACAGGGATCCTCATGTACCCCCAACAAGCCCTCTCTGGGGTCCCCCACCCCAAACGTGTCCTCTTGGTGTCCCCCTTCCAGGTGTGCTCTGTGGGTAGGGCAGACTCCCCACTCCTGGACCAGGTGCATTTGGCTTCTTGGGGGTTGGGGGGCAGAGGTCTCCCCCAAACCCTTCCCCCCAAACCAGGGGCTGACCCCAGGCTGGGGAGAGACTGTCCACACACCCCCGCACCCCACAGACTTGTGGGGTCAGATCTTGCCACCCTTGCTTGGACCCCGGCTCCTCCTGGGACCCCCAGGGGAGCTCCCTTGCAGTGAGGTGAGGCCAGGAGACAAGATCAATGGGAAGTAACTGGGAGCATCACTTCCAGGAAATGTCCTCCATGTGGGAGGAGTTTCCTCCTGCTGGCTGGAATGTGGATGTGGTGGCTGGAACTGGAGCAGCCATTTTGGACCATGTGGAAAGTGGCAGAGCCACAAGCTTGATGGAGCTTGGGCCTTTGATGTAAGCACAGAGCTTTCCTGTTGTGAAATACAATTCATATTTTATGGCGAGACAAAAAAAATTTAAACAGTTTTTTTCTGCCCTTTGGCCCCCTCTCTCCCCATTACTGCGCATTGTGTATCTGCATGATGCATCGACCACACCTTCCCCACTGGCAGAAATGCCTGCTCAACCATAAAGAGCAGTATTCTCCCAGCATCAACAAGACAACTCCTTAAAGATAAATTTCCTTCTCGATCTCCTAAGGGCCCACGATGACGCTTAGATCTGGATTGTGTAAATTGTCAATAATACGTCATTTGATGTACAGCCCTCTGTCTCAAAAACCTTATATAACTGTGCCTTGACTTCTAGTGGGTGGAACAGTTCTCAGAGCTTTCTGAGATGCTCTTCTCCAGGTTATCATCCTCAAATTTGCCTCGAATAAAATGTTCCATTTCTTTTGTAGATCGATGGATTAATTTTTCTTTATTTACTTTTAATTTAATTTAATTTAATTTTGGCTGCATTGTGTCTTAGTTGCGGCACGCAGGATCTTCACTGAGGCGGGATCTTTTCATTGTGGAGCGCGGGGCTCTTCGCGGTGATGTGCGGGCTTCTCTCTAGTTGCAGCGCGTGGGCTCCAGGTTGCGTGGGCTCTGCAGTTGTGGCACGTGGGCTCTCTTGTTGTGGCGCGCGAGCTCAGTAGCTGTGGCGTGCGGGCGGGCTCAGTTGCCCCGCGGCGGCATGTGGGATCTTAGCTCCCCGACCAGGGACCGAACCTGCGTCCCCTGCATTGGCAGGTGGATTCTTATCCACTGGGCCACCAGGGAGGCCCTCGACTGATTAATTTTTTTGTCGACACTACCAGGCCTGAAGATTTTTTTATGTGATAGGAACATTACCTTTTTTTTTTTTTTTTGCGGTACACGGGCCTCCCAATGCCGTGGCCTCTCCCGTTGCGGAGCACAGGCTCTGGACGCGCAGGCTCAGCGGCCATGGCTCACGGGCGCAGCCGCTCCGCAGCATGTGGGATCTTCCCGGACTGGGGCACAAACCCGTGTCCCCTGCACCGGCAGGCGGACTCTCAACCACTGCGCCACCAGGGAAGCCCGGAACATTACCTTTTAAAGCCACAGTTGTTTTCTTTAGAGCAGGTAAATCTCATATCGGTCAAAATGAAATCATTAAAATTCTAGAAAAAATCGTGGAGTGATTATTTATTACCATGGAGTGAAGATGATCTTTTAAAATATGACACAACCTCCAGAAACCATAAAAGAAAGTATCAACATATTTAACAATGTAAAATTAAAAAATCTGTGTGGGCATGGTCAAAAAAATCCCACCACTCACAAGGTCAAAAGACCAATTCGGAAGAATATTTGCAACTCAAACCACAGAAAGAGGGCTCATTTCCTTAAGAAGTAAAAGTTCTACAAATCAGTTTTAAAAAGACCACCAATAGGTTAGAAAAAAATGGGCAAACAATGGACTCATTTCCCAGAAAAGTGAATACAAATGGTTCTAAACATATTAAAAAATGCTTCATTTCACTCATAGTAATAGAAATGCAAATTAAAACTGCACCGTGGAGGCCATTTTTAAATTGTCAGGTTGGCAAAGAAAACAAAACCACAGGGAATGTCCAAGGCGGCGGTGTGTGTGTGTGTGTGTGTGTGTGTGTGTGTGTGTGTGTGTGTGTGTGTGTGTGTGGGGGGGGGGGAGGATATGAGCCTTCTCAGACGCTGCTGGTGGGTGAGCGGCCGAGCTGATCCCCCTGGGGGGGAATCCACACCAGTCATCAGACTAACGCCCTTTGACCCAGCGGTTCGGGGGGTGTGTGTGTGTGTGTGTGTGTGGGTTTGTGTGTGTGTGTGTGTGTGTGTGTGGTGGTGGTGGAGGATATGAGCCTTCTCAGACGCTGCTGGTGGGTGAGCGGCCGAGCTGATCCCCCTGGGGGGGAATCCACACCAGTCATCAGACTAACGCCCTTTGACCCAGCGGTTCTACCTCTGAGCATTTATCCTTCAGATATATTCTCACCAGTGTGACATGACTGTCAGGTGGCAGCATTTTGGTAAAAGCAAAAGGTTAGAAACAACCTAAATGTCTATCCACAGGGGATTGCCAAGATCAACGGAGACACACCACGCGGTGGAGTCCTCGGCAGCTGTTGCAAAGAGTGAGGAAGGGCTGTATATACTGATGCGGAAAATCTTCAGAATAAAGCGTAAGAAGCAAAGCGGGGAGGAATGAGCAGGGTATGCCGCTGTTTGTATCAAAGAGGGGACTTGCTTGCATTTGTGGGAACTGAGTGCAGAGACCCTGATCCCCGGGAGTGTGTCCAGAGCCAGGTGGCTGAGAGGGTCCCTC